CGAATGAAATAAGATCATCATAACAAACAAATTTCCAATCAGTTTTGTTATGGACTTCATAGCTACAAAGATGTTCATCACAACTAATTGTAAGAAACATAGTTAAAAAAAGAATATATTATTCAACTTCTTGCAATAGATTATAAACTGTATTTGACCAAATATGGGTAAATTATCTTCGTTATATGTTACTGCAACACACATACCTTTTTTAAAAAGCGTTCCAAATATTCTGACCCATGAGCATATGGTTATTTTTTCGTTCATGTTTGGAGGTAGAGCATGACTGAACAAAAGAAGCCGACATTCAAATTAACATATTCATCTTCATATAAGAGGAAAATTAATTAATATAAGAGGAAAACAGAATAATATCTAATAAATTTTAGATGAATGGTTCACTTTAACCGCTTTATCGAAAGAAAAATTCTTTTTCTGTAATAGGCTTTAGAATATGAGACTATGGGAAAAATCACTTTATAAATAGAATATTTTTTTGAGTGCGTCAATTTTTTCTCGAGAAGGCGCAGGAGCGCACAATTACAATAATTCTATTTGAAGATTCAAATCGACAACACAACCATCCCGATATCCGCTGCGACGGAGGGTGGCAGTGACACAGCCGCGCATTTGTAAAACGACAACAGCACCCTCATGAGACGTAGTCCCATTATGTGCTCCCGCGGCACGCAAGTCAGCGGCGGCTTTCTCTTCTCTCTCTCTCTCTCTCTCTCTCTCTCTCTCTCTCTCTCTCTCTCTCTCTCTCGTGCCCTATTAAAATCCGTCAAACGCTTCGTGGGCAATTAAAGCTGCGGCGGCCAGCCGCGTCAAATAAATCAGGGATCAATAAATTAGCGGGCGGTTAAAGCTCGAGGGGGGACCGACTTTATCTGCGCCGCGGCATCGCATCGCGCGGCGGCCCCGACGCCGTGGGGGAGGCGGACAGAAGCGGAAGCTGGCCCCAATAAAACACTTGCCACCCGGCGCTCTTACGTTTACGTCTGCGTTTGCGCCCGTTTCTCCGTTGTCTAATCTGCATTTTAAATGTCGACGCCCCCCTACGTGGCGTACAGATAACGCCAGCACCGAAAGCCTGCCGCCGCCGCCGCCATCCCCGTCGACCAACTTCTTTCTCTCTTTCTCTCTCCCTCGGCCCCGCCGCCCATTCCCGTTTTCGTCAGCCACTTCGTCCTCGGATTCGCCGGATGCGCCGCCGCCGGATACCTCGCGAGTACATTCTCGCGGTCGCCGCGGAGATAAAAGTACCTGCCAGGATGAACTACGGAGATCCCGTCCCGCGTAGTGTGCGCCCCGCTCTAGCCGGTACCACGCTGGCTGTCCACGAACATTCGCCAGATGACTTCATACTTTTCGGAGTTCCGCCTTTCCACGGGAATATCGGCTCGCCCATGCCGCCGGGATTCTTTTTGTTTCGTGGCTAACGAGCCGTGCTCGACGGTGTTCTTTATCCGCTTGAGAGCTAGTTTCTGGACCGCTCGCGGGCCTTGCCTTCACAGCCTTTACCGGGAGCCTTAATATTCATTTCCGAATATGTCTCGGCTATATCTCGCGCTGAGAAGCGCCGAAGAAGCCAGCCGTGAGCACTCGTTGCTCGGCGAGATGGTCGAGATGGAAAAAAGCGGCGCGAGATAGCTCGAGATTGGGAAACGCTTCTCGCTCGTCCGGTCTTTTCTTCCTCAGACAGTCTGGAGAATCTCACCGTTGTTAATTTCACTGAGCTATTCACAGATTCTATTAACACGCCGAGTGTTCGTAGAAGACGCTGATCGGACGATAACTCGACGTAGAAAAAGAAAAAGGACATTGAAGGAGTGTGGCTAAATGGCGATATTTTTTCGGGCGCAACCATTCTCGGCGAAGTTTTCCAAAAACATGGTCTGAACCTAAATATGAGGAAATGTAGCAATAAAAGTCCGTTTTTCTTTTTTTTTAATAGCGTCCATCATTCATACAAAATAGTCTCACTGTTGTCAATAGAAAATAATAGAGAGATACTCGTAGCTGACAAGTATAATTAAGTCGTAAGTCGAGAAGGCTAAGATGAATCATTCACTATAGTTGTGTTAGGATAATGAGCGGTATTGCTCCCCCCATGTCTCCAGGAGTGCTTTCTCTGGTTTTGATACACCCAAAAGTTTGGATTTTTGTTGCCACATTTCCTCTCAGATTTAAACTCGGATTTAACTCATATTTGAAAACTCATATTTAAACTCTATGTTTCTAGAGAGTTTCGTCGAGAATGATCGTGCCCGAATAGATATCACCACTTAGCCATACTTCTTTCACTAATCTAAACTCGTGCGGTTAATTTATCCACCATAATGCTGTTTAATTTTAAGAGATATCATTTCTTTTTTCAAGCTTGATTTATAATCTTGGTGGTTACTATGGCTCTGCCGCGTTCCATTAAGTTACGTACAAGGTGTAATTAATTGCAATCAAGTAGAACGGCTTTAACGACAGGCCAATGAGAGCTGACGCCACGCTTTAGTACTCACTTTTATTATTTTAATGAACATAATCGGTCGTAACTTCTTGAATCCCCTTGCGATATTAATATTGTTATTAATATTACCCCTTTTAATTAGCGAATTCTGCGAAGAATATTACTAAAAATATACGATCACATTTAGCGTATTAAAAATGATATATAAATGATGAGATAATAAAATAATTACTCGACGTTCAACCTGCGTTGCCTCTCACTGATTGTTAAAAGTGTTATGCTTAATTTAAAAATCCAAGAACCTTCATAATTTTCCGACATATCTGCCTTTATAAAATCGATTGTACAACCAATAAGTAAAACGAGATGAGAAATGTGAAGCGTCTTGAGTTAAATACATTGATTTACCGCGCCTTCAAAAAGAACTCCACCACACTCGCTGAACTTTTGCGCAATCAACGAAAATTAAGATGACTAACAACGTGTTGAGCTCTATCACGCGTACTTTAAAACGCGATTTTCAATGCGCGACTCACCTTCGTGAAAAAAATCTCTTCGTCGTGCGATGCTTGTGTTTAAACGCAGATAAACACGCGGAAGATCGTTCGCCATCTGTACCGCCGTGAAGATCGGCGGAAATGAAGCGTCGCGACTTCGTCGACGATAAACACGCGTCGCATACGCTCGTCGCGACTCGGCTCGAAGGAACGTTCGATTTTACGGCCTCGTCGAATTCAATGGAACAAGAGTTACGACGTACGTAGCAAGTGCATCGCGAGAAGAGGGCGGTATCATGGTCTGAATATAAGGGGGATGAATCAGGGGCTGGCTGGTCCGTTGGCTAAACGACCGAATATGATCACCCGCAGCGAAAAGCACTCACCGAGCTCACCCCTTGTCACTCGTTTCGCATTTGTTTCCGCTAGTGTCGGTATCGTAATCGCAGCAAGAAGACGAGGACGAGGACGACGATGATGACGATGACGATGAAGGGTGATCATTGCCTCGGTTACAGACCTAGTGCAAGTCCCCCGAAATTCCAAAACTTGAACTACGCTCGCTTCGCCAAATGTACTTTAAGAAAGAACTTTTAGAAACAAAGAAATATGTATACTGCAAACTGAAGTCAAAAAGGTGAGTAACAAGATAATATGAATAGCATAAAAAGGTATTTTAGAAACGTCTGAAAAATATCTTACTTGTCTGTTCAATTTGTCTCTTAGAAGTCAAAATAAATTTTTGATTGTTTGCAATAACTATACACATATCGCTTTAAGATATTTTCATGCACTTGACATATTTCTTTAACACTTTCCGTACGTTATGAAAAAAATACGAAAAAAAAAAAATTAAATATGTCCTTTAATAAAAATATCTAATTCATAAAGCAAAGTACGCACATGTATAAACGATGCCTAAAAAGTTCCGGACCGGTAAAATATCTCGAAAACAAGACATTTAAGAAAAAAAAAAATGTTTCAGACAAAAGTATGGTTTCAAGGGAGACATAAGACAGCGATAACATTTTGTTTAGCGCCATTTTCGAGATATTCACTGATCATTATTTTTCTCAAATGGAAACCCCAGTTTTTTATTATTTCATCTTTTTCTACCAATTAATTTGGAGAACTTTTATTTGAAACATTTGTTTATTTGCCTAATATTTTTTGAGATATTTAAGGAGAACTTAGTAACTTTTTTAACACTTACGTAACTTGCGATATCTTGCTATTTGTCGGAAGAAAAAGTGGTACGAGATTTCTTTACTCTATTTGATCTCAAGAATATATTGTTACAATAGTGCGATAGTACTCCGACTTTTGTTAATTTGATTTTGAAATTTCCAAAGGTTAATAAGTTTAGAAAAGTCAGGGCGCTATTGTAACAATATATTCTTGAGACTAAGTAGAATAAAAGAGTTTAATATCACTTTTTCTTCTGACAAACAGTTAGCGAGATAAATATTGAAAAAAGTTACCAAGTTTTCCTTAAATAAGTAAGTTAAATATCGAATAAAGTTACCAAGTTTTCCCTAAATATCTCAAAAACTATTAGGTAAATAAAAAATGTTTCAGACAAAAATTCTTAAAATTAATTGGTAGAAAAAGATGATATAATAAAAAACTGGAGTTTAAATTTAAGAAAAGTAATGATCAGCGAATATCTCGAAAGCGACGCCATCTATAAACAGAATATAAAACAACTATACCGTTTTATACATAAGTCTCCTTTAAAACCATACAACTTTTATATGAAACATTTTTTTCTCTGAAATGTCTTGTTTTCAAAAATTTTACCGGTTCGGGACTCTTTGGACACCTTGTACATAAAAAGTAAAAAGTAAATCACATAAATAATTAACATAATATCTAATAAAATATTTAATCCATAAAGCAACGTTCATACACACACATATTTAAAAAATAAAATAAACCATAAAAAAATTTTGAAGGTAAAAAATTAATAATGTTTATAAAAATTCTCATATTTATATCAATATAAAATATTCATATTCTATCAAACTAATTTCCCATTTATATTTTTTACGATAATATTATTATGTGACGACAATGTGACAAACGTACGTGAGAGCTTCATACCATATGAAATGATTCTGATCAGAGATGAACTATTCACAAGTAACTTCTGTAAAGATGATCTTTATAAATGATCGATATAAATGTCTTCCTTTTATGTAAATCCTCTTTACTCGACTCCTTATTTAACAAGGGTTTATATGACAATTTAGCTACTGTAGTTTTAGATATCTAATTTTTATTTAATTTCTGTATATTTGACTCCTGTTCACTTGACCCTGGTCCATTTGTTTGTTGTTCATTTAACTCATGTTTACTTAATTCCTGTTGGATAAACACGGGTTCATATAATTGTTCGATAGACTTCGAATAAAATATTTTTGTACTTGACTCTTGTTGGTTTGAATCCTTCTTACCTAACTTCTATTCACGTCCCGTTCACGTGGTTCCTACGCACATGGATCCCGCTCACTTGGTTCCTGCTCACATGTCTGCCGTTCACTTAACTTCTCTTCAAATGGCTCCTGTTCACGTGACTCCTGTTCTTTTGATTCCAGTTTGGTTGACTCATGCTCACTTGACTTTTGCTCAATTAACATAGATTCATATGATTGTCCAATTGATTTCGACTTAGATGTTTCTTTTTTACTTAACTCTTGTTTACTTGATTTTTCTTCATTTGTCTCGAGCTCTTTTGTTTGTTGTTTATTTGATTCTTGTTTACTTAACTCCTGCTTATTTGACTCTGGCTCATATAACTGTTCACTTGACTCCAAGTCAGAGGTCTCCTTTTTACTTGACTCTTGTTCATTTGAATCCTGCTTACTTGACTCTAGGTCACATGGTTTCTGCTCACATAGATCCCGTTCACTTGGTTCCTGCTCATATGTCTGCCGTTCACTTAATTTCTCTTCAGATGGCTCCTGTTCACTTGACTTCTGTTCTTTTGATTCCAGTTTAGTTGACTTATGCTCACTTGGCTTTTGCTCAATTAACATAGATTCATATGATTGTCGAATTGATTTCGACTTAGTTGTCTCCTTTTTACTTAACTCTTGTTCATTTGATTCTTCTTCATTTGCCTCGGGCTCTTTTGTTTGTTGTTTATTTGATTCTTGTTTACCTAACTCCTGCTTATTTGACTCTGACTCATATAACTGTTCACTTGACTCCAAGTCAGAGGTCTCCTTTTTACTTGACTCTTCGTCTGAATCCTGCTTACTTGACTCTAGGTCACGTGGTTCCTGCTCACATAGATCCCGTTCACTTGGTTCCTGCTCACATGTCTGCCGTTTACTTAACTTCTCTTCAGATGGCTCCTGTTCACTTGACTTCTGTTCTTTTGATTCCAGTTTAGTTGACTCATGCTCACTTGGCTTTTGCTCAATTAACATAGATTCATATGATTGTCCAATTGATTTCGACTTAGATGTTTCTTTTTTACTTAACTCTTGTTTACTTGATTTTTTTTCATTTGCCTCGAGCTCTTTTGTTTGTTGTTTATTTGATTCTTGTTTACCTAACTCCTGCTTATTTGACTCTGACTCATATAACTGTTCACTTGACTCCAAGTCAGAGGTCTCCTTTTTACTTGACTTTTGTTCGTCTGAATCCTGCTTACTTGACTCTAGGTCACGTGGTTCCTGCTCACATAGATCCCGTTCACTTGGTTCCTGCTCACATGTCTGCCGTTCACTTAACTTCTCTTCAAATGGCTCCTGTTCACGTGACTCTTGTTCTTTTGATTCCAGTTTAGTTGACTTATGCTCACTTGACTTTTGCTCAATTAACATAGATTCATATGATTGTCCAATTGATTTTGACTTAGATGTCTCTTTTTTACTTAACTCTTGTTTACTTGATTCTTCTTCATTTGCCTCTGGCTTTTTTGTTTGTTGTTTATTTGATTCTTGTTTACCTAACTCCTGCTTACTTGACTCTGGTTCATATAACTCTTTACTTGACTTCAAGTCAAAGGTCTTTTTTTTACTTGACTCCTGTTCATTTGAATCCTGCTTACTTGATTCTTGTTCACATAGGTCACATGTTTCCTGCTGACATAAATCTCGTTCACTTGATTCCTGTACACGTGACTCCTGTTCATTTAATTTCTGTTCAGATAAATTCCGTCTACGTGACTCCTGTTCCATTGATTCCAGTTTACTTGATACATGCTCACTTGATTCCTGTTCAATCAGCACGGATTTACAGGACTGTTCACTTGATTTCGAGTCAGATGTTTCCTTTTTAATTGCCTCTTGTTGACTTGAATACTGCTCACTTGATTCCTGTTGACATAGCTCTTGTTCACGTGCTTTCTGCTTACATGGATCTCGTTCATTTGCTTTCTCCTCACGTGCTTGTTCATTTAATTTCTGTTCGCATGGTTCCTGTTCACGTGTCTCCTTCTTATGCGACTCCGTTTTATATAGTTGCTGTTTACTTGATTCCTGCTCAGACAATTTCTGTCCGAGAGATAACTGCTCACATGTATCTCGTTTACTCAATTTCTGCTCACATGGATTTTGTTCACGTGCCTCCTTTTCACGTGTCTGCCGTGCACATAACTCCATTTTACATAATTTCTCTTCATGTAGCTTCCATATATGTAATTTCTGCTCATACTGTTTTGATTTACGTAACATATTCACAGAATGCACTGGTAAGCTTGATTCCTGCTCATGTAGTTCTTGTCCACGTGGTAACTGCTCACATGTATCTTCTTCACTTAATTCCTGTTCGCATGGATTTTGCTCACGTGCCTCCTGCTCACATGTCTGCCGTACATATAACTCCATTTTAGGTAATCTTTGTTTATCTTCCTTCCATGTACGTGACAATCGCAGAAATTGTATTAGTTCATATGATTCCTGCTCAGATAGTTCCTGTCTACGAAGTAACGGCCCAGAAGTATACTGTTCGATTGATTCCTGTTCACATGGCTCTTGTTCACATGTCTCCTTTTCATGTGATTGCGTTTCGTATAACTCCTTTTCACGCGATTCCTGCTCCTGTAGTTCTTGTCCACGTGGTAACTGCTCATATGTATCTCGTTCGCTTGATTCCTGTTCGCATGGGCTTTGCTCACGTGCCTTTTTTTCATGTATCTGCCGTGCACATAACTCCACTTTACGGAATCTCTGTTCCTCTCGCTTCCATTTACGTGAGAACCGCAAATATTGCGATAGTTCACTTGATTCCTGCTTAGATAGTTTCTGTTGACGTAGTAAAGGTCTAGATATATACGGTTCAATTAATTGCTGTTCATATGGCTCCTGTTTATGTACCTCCTTGTTACGTGATTCCGTTCCATGTAACTCTTTTTCATTCGATTCCTGCTCATGTAGTTCTTGTCCACATGGTAACTGCCCACATGTATCTTGTTTACTTGATTCCTGCTTGCATAGATTCTCCTCATGTGCTTTCTTTTCACATGTCTGCTGTGCATACTCTATTTTATGTAATCTCTCTTCATATGGGTCCACATCACATAATCGCTGCAAACATTGTTCTAGTTCATTTGGTTCCTGCTCAGATAGTTTCTGTTCAAGTGGTAATTGCTCACATGTATACCGTTCAATTGATTGCTGTTCACATGGCTCTCGTTCACGTACCTTCTTATTACGTGACTGCGTTTCGTATAATTCCTGTTCACTTAATTTCTTGTCATGCAGTTTCTGTCCATATGGTAACTGTCCATATGTATCTCGTTCACTTGATTTCTGTTCGCATGGATTTTGCTCACGTGCTTCCTGTTCACGCATCTCCCGTGCACATAACTTCATTTTACGTAATCTCTGTTCATCTTGGTTCAATTTACGTGACAACCGTACTATTTGTGCTAGTTCACTTGATTCCTGTTCAGGTAGCTCATGTCTATGTAGTAACGGCCCAGATGTATACCGTTTAATTGATTGTTGTTCACATGGTTCCTGTTCACATGCCTCCTTTTCACGTGACTGTGTTTTATGTGACTCCTTTTCAATCGATTTCTGCTCATGTTCTTGTCCACGTGGTAACTGCTCACATGTATCTTGTCCACTTGACTTCTTTTTGCATGGATTTTGCTCACATGCCTCTTGTTCACATGTCTGCCATGCATATAATTCCATTTTAGATAATCTCTGTTCATTTCGTTTCCATTTACGTGACAACCGCTGCATTTGTGCTAGTTCACTTAAATCCTGCTTAGATAGTTTCAATCTAGGTAGTAATGGCCCAAATGTATACTGTCCAACTGATTGCTGTTCGCATGCCTCTTTTTCACGTGACTGCGTTTCGTGTAACTCCTTTTCACTCGATTCCTGCTTATGTTGCTCTTGTCCACATGATAACTGCCCACATGTATCTTGTTCATTTGATTCCTGCTCAGATAGATTCTCCTCACGTGTCTTCTTTTCATGTGTCTGCTGCTGTGCATACTTCATTTTATGTAATTTCTCTTCATATGGATCCACATGACATGAATGCTGCAAACATTGCTCTAGTTCATTTGGTACCTGCTCAGATGGTTTCTGTTCAAGTGGTAACAACCCACATGTATCTTGTTCACTTGATTCCTTTTTGCATGGATTTTGCTCATGTGCTTTCTTTTTATGTGTCTGTTGTGCATATGACTCGATATGTACTCTCTGCCCATTTTGCTTCCATTTATGTGTCAATAGTAGTATTTCTAGTTCATTTGATTCCTGCTCAGATAGTTCCAGTCTAGGTAGTAACTGCTCACATCTATCCCATTCACTTAATTGCGGTTCACATGGCTCCTGTTCACATACGCTCTTCACACATGTCTCTGGTACACATAATGTTATTTTATCTAATGTCTGTTCATATTGTTCTGCTGTATGTGATACTTGACCACTTGATTCCTGTTCCACTGGCTCCTGTCTACATGACTTTTGTGTATTTGACTCCAATTCAATTGATATATAATTAGTTAACTCCTGTTTACTTAATTCCTGCTCACATGTCTCCTGCTCATTTAACTCCTGTTTAAATGGCATCTGTTCAATTAATTCCAGTACATATGATTGCTGTTCACTCGATTCAGATGTGGTCTCTTCAGATGATAGTTGTAAAGGCATGTGATATGTTTCAAATGTATCTTTAGATGGATATAAATTCTTATAAATCGTTACATAACTATTACGATAATAGAGAGTACCTGTCTCATAACATCTCCATGGTTTATAGGATTTGTAGTGATTTTGGTTATTATATGTAGGTGTTATATTTAGAAGTTCTTTCATCTTATTTATATTTTCTCCTGCTTTAGATTGCGACCTTGAAGTTAGAATTAATGGGCATTTAATTTGTGATGCCCTTAGAATATCCATTATTGTCTCATGATTCATCAAATCAGCTTCAGATATAATAATCACATTTGGATGTTTATATGATGGGCTGCTTATATAATCATAGTATAACATATGACAAACCTCATAGTAAAACTCCTGTTGTAATGTTTCGCACGAAGTGCAAACTTCTTTCTTAGTTGTGCAACTGACAGTATTCATTAATTGTGCTCCTATCACTACAATTGTTAACTTCTTTATCTTACGTAACAAATGCAAAACAAGTTCCCAAGCACTTGCATATTTCACTTCAAGGAGGCTTGGTGCCACAATATGAATAACAAATTGAGGTCTATTCATTACTGGAAGATTTAATAAGCCTGCATTCTTCATTCCATGATATAGTGTTAACGGTCCTGACACATAATCGCTATAAAAATAATCTTTGGATTCCCAAAATTCACGTTTCCCATCAGTATCACGACGGATACAATCTGCAATATAATCTTGCATGTTATCAATATATGCTCTTCCTTCACAAGGTTCCTTGGTTATGTTTATAAATCCTTCACACAGAAGACTTAAGATATCTAAATTGAGACAAAATAATAATTGATGGCAATTATTTCGGTGCTGTTGTCGAAATTCTAATTCATGTTCTTCGCAATAGTTGTCAGAATAGCACACGCAACATGGCTGCAAATCCGATTGCCGATGACAGATACTACACGATTTTGCGAAAAGTATTATCTGCACTTCATATGGGTACAATTCTCGTGGCATTTTTTCTTTCAGTTTAATCAGAAATTCCTTCCGTGTTTGGATCCAATCGGCTGTACTTAAAGGATACTTGAGATGTTCTACATTGTCCTTTATAAAATCTTGTAAAAATTCGCATAATTGTACGTGGTGTATTCTATCTACTTCTTTGTGTTCATCGTTGCAGTAAAAAATCATGTGGCATTTAGAGCATGGTATCAAGGTAACGTCTGTACTATTTATTTTCTTGCAAACGTGACAAACGTTTGGATGAAAGAACTTATTAATATCTACAAAATGGCGCCACGGAGTGGTAAGTTTTATCACTTTTCTTAATGTTGCTATGTTCATGACGATATATTCTATTTGCCTGATAAAAATAGATGCATTTTTATGATTTCAATTTAACAACAATGTGTGTGTGTATATGTGTGATACTATACCTTAGCAGAAGTAAAAAAGTTCTCCACGCACAGTTTAACTTCGTAACTCCTAACTATTCGGAAGACACCAGGAAGACACAAAATTTCTTTGTACCTCGGATATAGCTTACGAGCACTTACGAACTGGATTACATCACACTTGAAGATGTATCGGACCATGAATATATGTTATTATATAGATATAGGAGTCTCCTCTAGATTAGTGGCAAGAGGTACAACTGATTAGAGATAGAGGGCCAAGCGTGGGCCAGTGAGCACCAGTTAGGCCGGTTCATAATCGGATCTTATATAAGACTGTCTTAAGTTCATCTTCAGATGCTGTACAAATTATTTCATTGGCTACAAAGTATCTGAAAGTGAACTTAAGGTGGTCTTAAATATAAGACCTGGGCAGCGATTATGAATCTTTCACGTGAACTTCTTTTTCATTTTTCACTTTTCACTGTAAGTAATTTCACATGAAAAGTGAATTGTAAAAAAGTAATATTTCTGTAATACTGATAATTAACATATAAATTAACATATAAATATAATTATAGTATACAAAATGTAAAGTATAACGTACTAATAAGCATTATGCAGCTAAAATTTATAGTTGTAATGTAATATAATAATATAATGTAAGTATATATAATGACTGATTCAAACGTTAACCGTGAAATGTAAATTCTCAAAACCTGAAATATTTCACGTGAACTTTCAATTTGCTCATATATATCCTTCTTTACATGTAAGTTGTGTACGTTTCCATGAAAATTTTCAACCATCAAACGATGTGGTTAAAACGTAAAAAATTATACTATTCCTTCTAGTGACTTTAATCTCACTTGAGTATGCGATTAATAAAAAAGAAACAACAAATAACCATTGTTAACACATTGTGAAAGGGGAACTGTTAGATTTATCAGATATGTAAATATGAAATCGGAATTTTTGTATAGAAAATACACGTTTATTGTATGAAAATGATAAAAAATATTTTATTCGAAGTATTACCCATCGCTAGCTATACATTTTTCCCACCTGTCTGACAATTTGTGGATGCCACGCCAAAAAAGCTGTTGTTCTTTTGAGGCAAACCAGTCATCGAGCCATTTTCGTACATTTTCGTAAGAAGTGAAGCGCTGCTCAGCAAGTACGTGTCCCATTGATGCAAATTAGTAATAATCGGACGGAGCCAAGTCTGGTGAGTAAGCCGCATGCGAAAGTATTTCCCAACTAAACGCCTCAATCGTTTCCTTGACCAGTTTTGCTGTGTGTGATGGTGCATTATCATGAAGCAAAATCATTTTGTGTTGCCTTTTTTGATATTCTGGTCGTTTTTTACGCAAAGCTTGATTCAAATCGATCATTTGTTATCGGTAGTGTTCAGTATTAACGGTTTCGCCAGGTTTTAGCAGCTCATAATAGATCACACCCTTCTGATCCCACCAAACACACAGCATTGTCTTCCGTCCATAGCGATTTAGCCTTGCAGTCGATGTCGATGGTTCGCCTGGAGTTGCCCATGATCTTTTACGCTTAGGATTCTCAAAATATATCCATTTTTCATCGCCAGTCACAATTCGATGGAGAAATGACTTTCTTTTGTACCTGACGAGCAGCATTTCGCAAGTGGTTTTTCGATTTTCCTGCTGTCTTTCATTCAGTTCATGTGGAACCCATCTTCCCATCTTCTGGATTTTTCTCATGGCTTTCAAATGTATGGAGACGGCTTCTCGTGTCACATTTAAATGATCTGCGAGTTGTTGTTGCGTTTGAGCGTCATCCTCATCCAACAATGCCTGCAATTCGCTGTCTTCAAACTTTTCCGGTGGTTTTTCATGTTCTTCGTTTCTCACGTAAAAATCGTCACGTTTGAATTTTTTAAACCACTCAAAGCACTGTGATTTATCAAGAGCATGCTCACCGTAAGCTTCGATAAGCATTCGATGCGATTCTGCAGCAGTTTTCTTCAAATGGTAACAGAAAATAAATGCTGTCCGCAAATCGTAGCTTCCAGGTACAAAATTCGACATGTTCAACGCTATTACAAACTATGCTGTTATAAGAAACTTGTATTGTAAGTTGAAAATCTTTGTCAGATGTCAACAAATGGAAATGGTGCCAATGACGCGGTTTGACGGTAACTACATTGACAGCTAGGGCCATCTATGGGCAAATTCCGGTTTCATATTTACAGACCTGGTATAAATGTATAGTGAATACGATGGGTAAAGTACAAGTAAAAAAATTTTCGTTATATTTTTATGATTTTTATATCAATCCTATAAAACTAATATTTTTTCATATTTTATCTCGAAGGAAAATTTTATTATTGTAGTACATATTTTTAGATTAATTTAAATATGTGACTGATAATAAAATGTTAAAAATAAAGATAGATCACACGTATTATTGTATGTTTATTTATAAATTATATAACATTAAGGATATTCGAAAAACATTCAGAGGATGTTTAATGTCCTAAGGTCGTCCTAAAGATATTCTGAGGACATTCGAATGTCCGGAGGAATTCCCGAGACATATGTTGAAGATCTTTTACTATGTATAGGATAACTTACAAAAAAGTTGGATAACTTTTTTATCGACAAGTATAATAATGCATAAGGTTTATATTACCTGTATATTTTGAGACATTTTCTCTGGAATATCAAACGGATTTTTCATGTCATGTAATATATCCTTCGCGCTGCACGGACATTATTATTTTGATCATTTTGATTCCTTTGATATTTATTAAGAATTATCCAGAACGCAATTGCTATGTTGAACGACTCAATTGTCGTGTAAAATGTTTCGATTTTCACAAATTCATATAAAATTTTTCATTTTTCACTAATTCACAAAAGTCTTTCACTTTTCACTAGTTCACGCAAGGGAAAAGATTCTTGATCGCTGTTCTGACTATGAATACCGGCCATCTCAAATTTGAATGTATACACTCATATTTGAGAGTAAATTCGAACAATTAAATGTAAATACTCAATATTTGAATATTTTTTCTATATGAATTCCATAAGAATTAATTTTATATTAGTAAATCTAATGTTAGATTTGAAATGTCATTGTTGAAATGTTTGTTAATCAAGAGGCACGGTAGTGCCTCGCTCCAAATTCAAGGCCGGTGTGAAGTTGGCACCTCATTTTCTAGCACCGCAAGTTTTAGCGATAGTTCCATTGGCACCCACAATAGTTCTACAGTTCCTGATAGGTTATACCAATAGTTCCGCCGAATTAGTTAACAAAATGGCAGATTGAAAATATGAGATGCTAACTTACCGTAGCACCGCAATTCCAAAAAAACCAATTTCAAGCACGAAATTTTATAGTTCTAGAATAGTTCTATAGTTCCTGATATGTTTTAGGAATAGTTCTGGCTTCTAACCAATTTTAAATAATTTTTGAAACTCAACGCTAGCACCGCACCACAAGAGTAAAGTATGAGTCTGCTGCCAGTTCCAGCCGACTTCTGGGTTTCTTTTAGTAGTTCTATAATAGTTCCAACGCTTTAGGTTGGTCCCGTCGCGGGTGCTGGCCTTTAACTATTTTTAAATAATTTTTGAATCTCAGCGCCAGCACCGCATCACAAGAGTAAAGTATCAGTTTGCTGGCAGTTCCAGCCGACTTCTGGGTTTCTTTTAGTAGTTCTACGATAATTCCAACGCTTTAGGTTGGTCTCGTCGCGGGTGCCAGCCTTTAACTATTTTTAAATAATTTTTGAATCTCAGCGCCAGCACCGCATCACAAGAGTAAAGTATTAGTTTGCTGGCAGTTCCAGCCGACTTCTGGGTTTTTTTTAGTAGTTCTACAACAGTTCCAACGCTTCAGGTTGGTCCTGTCGCGGGTACCGGCCTTTAACTATTTTTAAATAATTTTTGAAACTTACAGCCAGCACCGCACCACAAGAGTAAAGTATGTGTCTGCTGCCAGCAAACTGATACTTTACTCTTGTGATGCGGTGCTGGCGCTGAGATTCAAAAATTATTTAAAAATAGTTAAAGGCCGGCACCCGCGACGGGACCAACCTAAAGCGTTGGAACTATTATAGAACTATTATAGAACTATTATTGGAACTATTATAGAACTACTAAAAGAAACCCAGAAGTCGGCTGGAACTGGCAGCAGACTCATACTTTACTCTTGTGGTGCGGTGCTAGCGCTGAGTTTCAAAAATTATTTAAAATTGGTTAGAAGCCAGAACTATTCCTAAAACATATCAGGAACTATAGAACTATTCTAGAACTATAAAATTTCGTGCTTGAAATTGGTTTTTTTGGAATTGCGGTGCTACGGTAAGTTAGCACCTCATATTTTCAATCTGCCATTTTGTTAACTAATTCGGCGGAACTATTGGTATAACCTATCAGGAACTATAGAACTATTGTGGGTGCCAATGGAACTATCGCTAAAACTTGCGGTGCTAGAAAATGAGGTGCCAACTTCACACCGGCTCTGGAAAGTGATTCAGTGGATTTTTCTGACAAACAACTAGAGGACTTTGGTCTAGTGGGAGATTAAAAAAAGAAATCGGTATGTGATGCCATCGTGCTCGAAGTGTTGCGGAACATGTTTGTTGAATCTAATATTTAAAGTGTAGCGAGCAACATAAAATCAATTCGCTCTATTTATAAAAGGATCTAGAATATGCGAAGTCCGCAGGACATAACACTGGCGTGGTCACCTCATTTGGTCGACCACTGCGATGTTCGTACTTGGCAGCTCGTACGGCCTCGTTTAAACTCTGCCACCCAATATTTTACTATTGTAAACGAAGGAGCAGACTCCCCCAGAGTAGAATCTAGCTCTGCTTTGATATTGGTTGGATTGAGGCCTTTCAAATGAAAGTATTGTATCACATAACGATGACCAATTTTTTCCATGTTTACAAATTCACTGAGAGCGTTCACTATTGATGGCTGCTAAACAAATACTAAACAACGTAACGTCGTCAAACTTCAAACTTAAGCTTTATAAGGTTGGTACTTTCTAGCATAGTTATTTTTTTCAAACAATAACCGCCATCTATATGTTAGGTCGGGTACTTCTGGGACTATCCTCGTAATATCACTTTAATATTATAATATTAATATTATAATATTATAAGAAATATACCATATACATTATTATTTTGAATAAAT